TCTTTCACAGGCCAGTGACATTTAAGGAGGACAGGATGCTTCCTTCGCGTCCTGGTGGAGGAACAATTGGGAGAAAAATCGTGGTGGAAGTCAATTGCTGGGATTTCGACGTATCGGATGTGTCGGTGTTGATGTACGACATAACATTGACGAAGTTATTGTCCACAGATGGAAAGGAGATTAAGCTGAAAGAAAAGGGCATAGGGAAGTATGTGAGGTTGATTGCAGAGAGGTGAGCTTGTTATGGCGTTGAGTAAGTCATTTTATTCCATGTGCCTGTGTTGACATGTTCATTCACAAATCCACGAATGTAGTGTATTTTGGTGTATTGCACACAGCGATGGAATAGCTGCGGCACTAATTAGGGTAGAATTTGAAGATGCTTCTTGATGTTGTGTGGATATTACATGGAGGCACTTTTGACGTGTGCTTGGACGTTGTTATTTAGGAAACGCGGTGACGTTTTTCACGATGGAGGTCGGATTTTGTTCTCCCTGGGACCCTTGGACGGGAAGGATGGGGAAATGTTAAATTTTAGCGAGAAGATTGCAGATCCCCTTCAAAATGATGATTTGACGATAGAGTACGCGGCGAAAAGAGTGGGCAGCATTTCCGCAAGAAAAATAAGGCAATATCTCGATAATAGCCGTTCGAAGACGTCGGACCCACCCCAGCTTGCCATTAACATGCTGGATAATTTAATCAAATGGGTCAATAGGGCATCGTTGCCTTATCTTTCGAAGTCAGCCATTTTCTATGATCGGCCAGAACGGGACAACACTGGCGGTCTGTTCTGGATTTACCGTGGGTATTCGCTTAGCTTTCGCCCACAGTGGAAGTGTAGGCTGAACATAGACATGGTGAGTGAGTTTGTGTATCGTGTGGGGGCTGTTATGTGGACATAAGTTCATCAATAATGGTGTGTCTGTTTTTAGGCTCATAGGGCATTTTTCCCGGCTGGGAACTTGGCGGATATTTTATATGCGAAGTACGGCGATAATATGTATTCTCCATCAACGTGGAAGCATGTGAAAGAGGATATACTGTCACTCCATGTTGAGGCTAGTCATTATAAGAATGAGGGTAATTTTCTCGTGATTTGTGATATTGTTTGGGCCAAGTGTACTGTTGTGGTCATTTATTGGAGCTCATGTCATGGGGCTCCTCAATGCTTCTTTTTTTGCTCAACACGCTTATGTGCATTGTGCATAATCGTAGTTGTTGCAATTGAAAGTGTCTTACAACTGTACAAAGCAGTGTCTTTGCTGTGTCTTGAGTGTAATGAGCATTTTAATGAAAGCTTCAGGTAAAACCTACAGGAAGCGTTTTGTGGTGCACGGGTTGTCGCATAATTCGGCTGACAAGGAGATGATCGCAGACATCAACAAATCGATTGCGAAATACTTCAAGGAGCGATATGGCATAGACCTGAAATATCCCGAACTTCCATGTGTGAAGGTGAGTGTGCATGGCTGTGCTGAAGTGAACTGCTTTCACTGTGATGTGAATACCCATGCATTTT